CTGATGAACTCAGCTGTTCTTACCGTTGTAGGAGCTCGGGACTTTGTTGTCACTGAGATGGTTATGGTTCACTTTGAGGGAACTCTGGTCCTTACTTTGAGCACTTCTTCCTGGCTCCTGGGCTGGGGGGATGGTGTGCTGTTCAGTCTCCTGGAGAAGCTTGTCATGCTGGCTTTCCTGATATGAACTTGGCTGTTCTCATTATCGGAGGAGCTTGGGACTTCATTGTCAGTGAGGCTGGCTGTGGTACTTTTCAGGGGAGCTCTGGTTCTTACTCCGAGTGTCACTCCCTGGTTCCAATGCAAATCTTCAGCCTACTGGCACAGAGCTTTCATCTCACCACTGACATTTGAGCTTTTCTTGTGTAAATCTGTGAAACAGACTGGTATGAAGCATTGTCATGGGCTCTAGGCTTCAGAGGGACTCATGCAGGACATTGCCATGGGATCCAGGCCCTCAGCTAGATTCGTTGGGTCTTTAGTGTGTGGAAAGATTTCCTGTACTCTTTTGTACTTGACTCTTTGAGAAATTACTATAAAAGAATCCTATAAATTGTGTGTCCTGTATTAAATTGCTTTTCTTGTAAACCCTGACTACAACACCAGGAAAGCAAGCACTATCTCCTCAGTCTGTGTTTTCTTTGGAATTCATTTGCACATCATACATCTGTTTGCTTCAAATGGTCTTTTGCTAAATATGTTATGTTGACTTTGTTATCTGTGACTCTAGTGGGGAAACAAAATACCTAAAAGAAAAATAAAACCAGTCATATCCATACTATCCATTCTTGCTATAATTAAATGTTACTACAAAGTTGTTCTCCAGATAAAAAGCAACTGTTATTATTGTATTCTTTAAAATGACTTAGCAACCTCTGTCGTTTGCAGAATTTAAATGCAATGGCTTTTGTTCAAAGTGCAGCATGTCTACTAGATTCTTAACTGCTTGTAACAACTCAGCTGCAGAAAGGATCTTATTTGTGAAGACTGCGAGATGAAAACAGCTTGCCTTCATCAGTACAGGTCACAGGCATTAATTGTGATGACTAGGTGCATCTTCCCATATTAGCACTCTTTTTATTGTAACTTATTGAGTGCTAATTGCACTGTTGTGCTATGTTAATTTTTATTTCAAAGTATGCTTTTTTATAGCTCAGTGGCATGATTATATCCTCAATTTGTCCATGAAAATGATTGTGTTCCTTCTTCAAAACTCTTCTGTTGATCCACTATTCCCTGTGTCATTCCCCTTGTTCTTTATCAAAACTCACAAAGAACTTGGGACAACTGAAGCTAGTTTTTGGACTGGGTCTCTTCTTGTGATTGAAATTTAAAATTCTTTTAATAAAATTCAAGTCATCATCAAATTTGATGTTTATTTTTCCAGAAGAACTACAAACATCATGCCACAGTGATATATGTGCACCCATGTTCATAGCTGCTCAATCTGTCATAGCTAAATCGTGGAAGAAACACAAATGCCCATTAACTGAGGAATGGATAAAAAAGATGTGGTATTTTTAAATAATGGAGTATTACTCAGCTACAAGGAATGATAAACTTGAGGCTTTCATAAGTAAATGAATGCAACTGGAGTCCATACTCATAAGTGAAATAAATCAGACCCGCATGTGTAAATACTCATAGTCTCACTAGTGTAGGTATCTGAAAGAATAAATAAAACCTTAAAGATATAATAGATACTGTGAAAGAGAAAGAAACTGTTCAAAGGGAGAGAATGACTGGAATGAGGGAAAAGAGAAACAGACAGCAAAATATGCATAGATATATATGTATACATATATACACACACAGAATAACTGAGAGAGTCATACTATAAATTTCTGTTGTTTTTTTGAAAGGAACAGTTAAGGTTTAATTGTTTGATCAGTCTTAAATGCCTATATTTGTTTAACTGAGTAACCAATTTGAAGATAACAATATGTAATACAATATATATTATTAATTTTCTATCACCTTGCCTGAAACTCTGTATTGCTTCTACTGTTTGGGGGTTGTTTTGTTTATGTCTGTTTGTTTGTTAATGTGTTTTCATTCTTTATCTTTAAAAATACAAAAGATGGGGCTGGGGATATAGCTTAGTGACATAAGCGCCTGCCTGGCAAGCGCAAGGTCATGAGTTCAATCCCCGGTACCACAAAAAAAAAAAAAAAAATACAAAAGAATTAAGCAATGTTTATTGGAAATTGTCACTTTATAGTAGCCAAATAGTAAGCAGCATGTGAGTTTTCATTTCTCCTTTCTTGAGTGTTTTTATACAGTATAGTGATGATAAAATGTTTACAAATTTTTAAATGTAGTCCATGCTACAAACTGGCTAAAGGATTTGCCATGGTGGTGGAAAACCAAAAGGCTCCTGTACAAGGAAGGGAGCAGAGTCAAGGAGACTAAGGAGAAACAAATTACAGTCAGATAAAGCACAGAGCAATGTGGTAAAGCTTGGGATAAGACTCGTACTGTTTGTGTACTTAGTCTTAATATTATTTGTTGGCATTAAGTAAAACTACTCCACCTTATCTCAAGGGAGAGTGAAAATCAGAAAATCAGAATTACCAAAGAGATAAAAGAAAAGATGTCAAATGATGCCCACATTACTTTACAAATGTCCTAAAAGCATTCTTGATCTTATTTACAACTGAAAGAATACATTTACAATTTTCTAGTTTAGGATCAGATTGTAGGATTTATTAAGTGAGAAAAAATAAAATTTTTAAACAGGAGATTTGTGTTCATAGTGTAGGAGAATCCAGTGACAAGAAGAAGATCTAAAAAAATGTATACAGCAATTGGAGTTTAGAGGAAAAGCAGGAAACAAGAAAGGAACCCAAATAGAAAAATGTGCTGCTGTGAATATAGATACTTATTCATTTGGATTTTCCAAAATACTTTATTTCCTTAGCTCAAAATTCATGCAACAAATACACTATCACTGCTTGTGTCCTGGGGCAAACAGTTATGATGTGAAGTTGTTCTGATGCAGATTCCTGGGAGGGATGGAAAATGCAACCAAATGTCTTATCACAAGGTTTCCCCACAAGGATTCACTCCAGTATTCAAGTTTTTTGCTCACACGCAGGAACCCTTTATCTATATTCAGATACACTTGTTTGCTAGATTCATTTCTGTGTGAGTCTCTAATGTGTCAAAATCTTAAGAGTTCAGTATGGGTTCTCGGAATAGTACTGAGCACAAATAGCAGACACAAAGGTCCCTTTTTAAAATTAATTCCAGGCAGTGACAGTATCTTTGCAAAGCTAACAGAATATTGGTGCATGCGGCAGGATGCGTGTCCTATGGGAAGAATAAACTTTCCTATTTTACAGTGTGTCAGGGCTGCTGTGATGTAAAGTGTAAACCCCATATATACTGGGAATCTGCCTCCCTTACTGACTGCCAGGTGGGGGCCAGATGTGTGGATTCTGAGCCTCCTCTCCATTTGGGATATGGCAAAATGTAGCATTTGTGAACATTAACACCTTGTCTCTATACTAATGTTTCAGTTCTAACAGTGTTTCATAATTATCACTGCCATATCACTTATGAAACCTGGAAAAGACAGTGAACATGGAATGGTGGAGTTTTTAAAAATACCTCTTATTTTATTTCTATCAGCTCAACTCCAAATAGCAGTGTGTACTAAGTGCTTCCTGTGTGCTGGGTACTGTGCTAGGACTGCATAAGCATTACCTCATCAGTTCTCAGAATGACCCCAGAGACAAAGTAGTAACCCCTCTAACTGAGAGCCTGAGGCAGTGTCTACAACACTGACTGTCTACTCATTCAATGTCTCAATACATGAAAAAGCATTTTCCATCACTAGCTTTGCTGAAAGTACAAAATTATACAGATGAAAATGGCAGACTCAAAGAAACAGTGTAACTTATTCACTTTTACTTAGCAGGTTAGCCAGGAATTGAATGCATGTCCATATGACTAGAGGGATAATTGTTTTAATCACAAATATTTGACCTCAAGGCTCTGGAATTTCATGACATAATTCCCACCAGCTCCATGTATGCTGACAAGTGTAAATTCCCTTTCTTCTACATCTTGCCCCACATGACTGAAAATCTTTTGTGTCTTAGCCACTTGCACGAGACGAGATTTTTTTCCCTACTTTTATAAACCAATAACCAAGAAAATAGAAGGAGGTTCACATAAAAGTTGACACTTTGAATTAAGGAATTTGGATGATAAGAAGAATAATGACACTTGAGTCTTTGATTATGTGAAAAAAAATGAACACCAGTTGCTTCCTGGAGAACCTCTTCTCTTATGGCTACAATAGGAAGATTAGATCTCTTTCTTTTAGCAACACTTTGGAATCAGAAGCAGATTCCGGGAAGATAGCTACCTTTTCCATGCATACTAGGGTGTAAGTGGCATGGAAATACGATTGCCTTAATTTGAAACACAAATCCAGAAAATCTGGGTTTAATAAAGCATAATTTGGTCTTCCTTGAACTGATTAGATATCACTGTTTAATGACAATTTTTAAAAGTCCAGTGCAAAGTTAGGCACTGAGATTTTTGGGTATGTGTGTGTGTTACCGCATGAACTGATGACACAGATAGCCTTGCTCAGCTGCTCAAGGCTGCTCTCCTTCATTATCTCTCAGCTCCTTCCTTTCAATATTTCAATCTTTTGTTTTTTCCGTCACACATTCTGTTTTGTAATCTAATCCTACTGGTTCCCTCTAATCATAAACTTTTGTGATTAAAGTTGATCCATTTGGGTAATCCAAGCTAATCTTTCTGTTAGCTGCATCTGAAAAGTCCTATTTTGCCACATAAGGTACATATTTACAGTTGCCAAAGATCAAAACATGGGTATCTTTAAGAGACCATTAGTCACTTTATCACACAAAGTTTATTTGAACTGGAGCTGCTAGTAATAGGGAGAGAAGAGGAAGAAGGGCATAAGGATACTGAAAATGAGGCTATTCACTAAGAATACTAGAAAATGGGCAATGCTTTTGAAGTAGGAGCCTTTGTGGAGGAGATAAAGGGGCATTACAACGACATATTTCAATGTCTACAAAGTAAATGGGCAATGTTGGGGACAGCCCATCTTTATTCTTCTTAGAGTACTGCATAAGAAAGACTGATGCAGGAGTGGTGCAGGTAATCGGAAAAGCGGCAAACAAGATTACACTTGTACCTGAAAAGGTGACAAAGGCAATGCCTTGCTGATAAATGTCATGCGTTTCAAGGGCTCCAGCACATCACTTCAGTACACGTGTGTCCTTTCTGCAAACAGTCTCCTATCAGAAGAATGTATAATTATTAATGCTGTTTTGCTTCAGCCCAAGGAGAGCTGGAACATAGTTTATGTTAAATTCAGTTCATTAAATATCAAATGAAGTAGTGTATGTTAAATTTACTCCATAGTTCCTGGTATACTGTGAGCACCCAAAAAGTCAGTGACATTGTTTTTTTTTTGGTTTTTCTCCCGTACCAGGAACCGAACTCACGACCTTGCGCTTGCCAGATCAGGCGCTTTTGCCGCTGAGCTAAATCCCCAGCCCCTCAGTGACATTGTTAATAGAAAGAAATCTCAAGGTCGCCTTTGGTACTTCAGCACGACCTGGAGGCCACAGAGTATCCCTTCTGATCAGGACCAATCTTTCTCTACTCTTCTGAGACACAAGGTATAGCAGAAATTTTTTCAGTTCCTCAAACTTCACTCTTTGCCCAAAGCATGGCTCAAGGTCTCCGGTAAAACCCACTATAACAACACAGCCCTTTCCTGGTTTTCCTAGTCCTGTCAGTCCAAGAGAAGGTCTCACATTCAGTCCTCTAGGACTCTCCCTTTCAAAGGAGAGGAAAAAGGAATAATTCACACAATCATTCCTCTGCCTCTAAAGTAGGTTAATCCTTTGGTGTCTTCTTGCTTTTCAGCACATTATCTTCCAAACAGATAGAAAGAAGTCGGGGAGGAGCCCTGAGACAGCTAGGGCGGGTGTCCTGGCAACAACACACACGAATGTGTTCACTCTATCATTTTGAGTCTTCCACTGTGGCCAGGATTCTGAGGTGAACGTGGGGTGTAGCACTGGCAAATGTGGATTGAAACCCTGGTGTAGGCAACAGTTAGCTCTGAATATTTCAGACTCTTTCTTAAGTTCATTCACTTTCCTCGTCTGCAGAATATAAACATTGCTGTTCTTCATAGAAGATTATGAGATTTAGAGATAATGCAATGAAACACCTAATATACGTGCAAGTAGCAAGCAGCAAGCTTTTTTTTTTTTTTTTTTTTGGTTTTTGTTTTTTTTCCGGTACCGGAAATCGAACTCATGACCTCGTGCTTGCCAGGCAAGCACTGTGCCACTGAGTTAAACCCCAACCCCAAGTAGCAAGCTTTTGACAGAAAGTTTGAATCTCCTTTCTCCTCTCCTCACCACAACGTTTGAGTCACACCCAGAAATTCTTCCGTGGATGTTCATGGTAGGATATGTTCAACAATGGAATAACAAGACTCAGGTTTCTATGAGAGCCTGGAAAGGAAGAGTGGCAAAATTTAATGTAGCAATAAGCTCTATGGAAGAGCTTGGCCTTATAAAAAAGTCAACAGACAGGAGTTTTAAGTAGTAACTGGTGTGGTCATTTATCATCTTTGCATAACTAGAAAGGGAGCAGAGAGCAGGTGAAGAGATAGAGTACAGTGCTATTTGAATGGTGTACACAGGGGAAGACAGTGCCCTGGGCATGACTATTGGTGGTTGGAAATTAAGAGAGGATATGCAACGAAATATTTAGGAGGTAAATATTCATAAGCAAATGCTTGAGTCATTGGACTGGGTTTGAATTAGAAAGCTTAATGGATGACAACACCCAATTCTGTGCCCTGGGCAATCCTGTAGATTACTGATCCTATTAACAGACAACACAGGAGTAGCAACAGGTAAGAAGAAAAATAGTGGGGTAAAATTCTAGAAATGTTTTTGAGATGTCTCCCTGGTATCTACAAATATAGGTTTGTCCCATGGTGTATTAGTCAAATGTCCCTTTGCTAATATAAAATACTAACAGTTAGTAATTCAAGAAGGGGAAGATTAATGTGGCTCACAGTTTCAGAGCCGGCAGTCCGTGGTTGCCTGAGTCCAAGGCAGAAATATTATGGCAGAAGGGCATAACGAGGAAAACTGCTTACCAGTAATTATGGTGGACAGAAAACAGAGAAAGTGAACAACATCTAAGAGGAAGAGGCCAGGAACCAGAAATAGCAATGTAAGACCACACCTCCATGACCAACACAGACATACCTGGAAGTGTGCTTCAGTAGATACTTAGGTGGATTTCACATCAATCAAACTGATGAGCAGCTAAACTGCTACACATGAATTCAAGAGGATGCATCCACGGCCAAGGGTGACTTTCTATTCAGTGGGTGCCACTGTCAAACTTCCACTAGTGGGTCTAGAGAACCATAAAGCAGACACTTAAACAAAGATACTGTCTCAGATGTATCATTTATGGAAAAGAGAAAAGGTTAGTTGAAATCTTTTAAAAATGCTATTTTTTCCACTGGTGTAGGGTAGCATATCATATAGTTTGCACTGAACCTAGTAGTTTCCACTTATGTTTGATGGAATAGGACAGTGTAGAATGGGGATATTGCAGAATATAGCTGCATACAATTATTCCTCCTCACATTACCAGGCAACATTTTCCTGTGGTCCTCTCAAAATTAAATCTCCCCTTAAAGAAGTAAAGGATCAATTCCTTTACAAAGCTTAGCAACTTTATATGTACCTTTTAAAATTTTTTGTAGTTTCTATAATTTTCTGTTCTGAGTCCAAAAATCCCCAACAGATTTCTACTATTAGTCTCTTTTAAGGATAATGGTGCCTTCTCATTTTCTGTAGTTTTCAGAACACACTAGTTGCAAGTTTAAAAGTTTTTGCCAAGTAATTCTTCCCCAACTGCTTTTTATAACTTTGAAGTTCAATAACGTGGTTTTCCTTAGCCATTGCAAGAAAATGCATTTTTCTCTGCAAATGGGGATTTCTTTGTTACCATTTTCTGCTCTGAAATGTTAAAACATATCTCTAGTTGTTTTCTTTTCTGTCTTCTCTTACTCATATTCCTTCTCATAGAGTGAGGCATATAGAATTATGAATAATATTATAATTCCTTCTGGAACCAGAAGAGAAACATGGTTTCTATTATAGTTTTTTGCACTATTTTTCCCTGTCTTTAAAAGATAGTTTAAAAAAGGAATCCAGGGGGATGCAAGTCTATTTATAATTGTGGGCAACCTGAGGCAGAAGACCAGATATTTCTAAAATTATGCTTGTTTTGATTTGCTCACTAGTTTGTTTTTCTGAGAAATTGTGAATAATAGAGCCATTAGGGTTGGAAGGTGCTTATTTTGCTTCATAAATGTAGGTGTATGTGTGAGTCCCTATCCACGCCATAGCTTAGTGTCTGTCTCCAGTGTCAAATACATTCAGTCCATGTGTTGGTGTGCAGTGATGAAGAAAAGTTGTACAGAACCACATATTGTATGAGCTTTATTATCAAGGCCTTGTAATTTCAGATAATACTGACCAAAATGATTAAGCCTTTCTTTAATAGATTCACACACTGTTTAAGATTATATTAATTGGTGTATTGACCCATTTATTTGTGTTTGTGTTTTTATGAATTTCTTCTAAAATACATTTTTTTTTCTCTTTGCTATATATAATTAATACTATTAGGAATCAGGAGACCGTGTTTGGAAAGTGAGGCTCTACCATTATTTTGGGATTTGATTTTTAAATGACTTAGGCAAAAAAAAAAAAAAAAATTCTATCTCTCGCAATCAGCCGTATGGTGGGCTTAGTAACTAGTCCCTACAATTCTTAGGGTTGTCCTGATAGTGGAATTCAACATTAAAGAAATACGACCAGTGTATAAGGTAAGATGTTCAAGGGCTATCATGTTTGCATCTAAAATTATCCAGACAATAACTGGGATATGGGAAAAGAGAAGGGAAAGAAGGAGAAAGTTTGTATATATGTATATGCAGGATAGTTAACACGGGTGTTTTACTGTCCTGTATTTCCTTGCTGAAAGAAACTGTCAGTGAGGCATTGGTTGATTAGCTCTGTATGTCTATATGTGTTTTCATGAGAAACTACATTGAAGATATCAATATGTAATACAATAAGCATTGTTAATTCCCTACCACTCTGTTTGTAACTCTGTAATGTCTGTACTGATCCTTTGCTATTTTGTAAAATGTTGTCGGTCTGTTAGTATTTTCCTCCTTTTATTTCTAAAAAAAAAAAAAAAAAAAATTATCCAGACAAGGTACAAAGGATTTAAAGGTTTTTTTTTTTTTCCCTTCCAAAATAACCACAAAGTATGAGGAGTGCTGTGTTAATCTCACGTTTCTGATTGGAAACTGAGGCCTACACAATTTCAATAGTTTTCCTATAATATGTCACTAAATAAATGAGAGATTTAAAATTCAGACCAAAGCCCGTCCCCGCCCCCACCACTAGTGTGTGGTTACTGTGGTTTGAAAAGTTTGGTGCGGGATAATCTTCCTAGGCAGCAGCTCTCTGGCGGCCCTGCCACGTCTGGAGGTGATGACACAGCTGATGGATCACTTAAGTCGGAAAGTATTACTCCTCCGGTGAGCTAACTTTGCAGTCCACTGGGGCTAACACGGAGTAACTGTACTATTATGCAATCTCTCAGGCTGCATAGAAAGCAGAGATGGTGTCTGATGATGTCTTTCTCTTTAAACCTTGGCAGAATTCAGAACATGGAACTGAAGGGCATTAGAGGTCCTCTGCTCAGTTAGACTGATCTGCTAAACACATCCTAAAGATCCACGGTGTGGAAGGTAACACTGAGTTCCTCTTTGTCTGTTTACAGTCTCCACCAGCCTGCAAGTTAAGGGAAAGGATTTTGTCCTTCATCATTACCCTTGGAACATAAACCCTACAGTCATAGCTACAATGCTGCCTATTGCTGACCAATCAGAATATGTATCTCTCTTTTAAGTAGCTGTGTCTTTTCTCTCCCTCCCTACCCATCTTTTCCTCATGGTCTAAACATCACACTGGCAGCTAGAAGCTACTGCTTTTGTTTACGATCTACGTTGCTCTGTCTCTGAGAGGAGAGATGGAATTTCACTCATGTTTCCATCTGAAGTATCCAGCAGTGCCTATAATAAAAATTTGTTCTCAGTAAATATTTGTAGAATTTGATTTAAAAATGAATAAATTATCTTAATTCAGCAAAGAGTCACAAGCACCTTTAATTTTCCACTCATTCTGAAAGGAATCAGAGAAGACCTTAGTTTTCACGGAACTTGTAATCGAGTTTGTCATGTAAGACAGCATCATGTGTTGATTATTAAGGTATAGTCTTTAGCTTCATATCTACGCCTCTGTTTTCTATTGTTTTCTACTATGATATTGGGAATGGAACTTGTAAAAAATTCCTTTTTCTTTTTTTCCCACCTGACTTCTTGATAGCTGTGCCAAAACAGATTTTGCGAGGGAGTAAATAGTGAGAAGAAGAGGGTAAAATGACACTGTGCTGCTCCAGCGTGCCTGTTGTTTTCAGCTACTCACAGGGCCCCTGCATGACACGTTACCCTAGCCTCAGCAGGGAGATGCAGACTTCACTTTCTTCTGACACACAACTAACAGCCGTCCATCAGAGGTGACAATGGTACAAGCGATTCCTATTCCCAATCTTCTTCTGAGCGTTATGTTCTGAAAACCCCAATTCCAATTAAACCAATCACTTTACAGATGGCTATTAAAAGTAGGTTCAACCACAGTTGATTCTAGTACAGAGAAGAGAAGCAAAATGTGACTTCATTCTTTGCCATTTTATTGAGAAAAGTCTATTTGACTATACTTGTTTCAAGACAAAGAATGTAAAATTTTGACCACAAACCACTGAATTTTCTGCTAGTAGAAAACTGACACAAAATTAATGTATTAAATGGCATTATACGGGTATTGAGACAATGATAGTGTAACATGATGACATTGTTTATTAGGAAAATCCAACAATGTTCTAATTTCTAAAAAATTTTTTAAAATTTGCTTCATAGTGCTTCTAATGATAATTTTATTAAAAATATTAGACATGAAAATAACAGAGCTATTACTGATTCTGTTCATAGTATTTCCTCTATTAAAGATTAAAAATTCCTTCCTAACTAATGATTCAATACCAAATACTTCCAGACCTTGCTTTATGGGCAAGATAAATATATTTATTAGACATAAGAAATAATTTCTTGTTGCATAACTTTTCTGTGCTTCCGCACTTATTTTCCCTACCAAATTTTAAAAGTGATTAGAAATATGTATAACTCTTTTCCTTCTAATATTCAGGGTACATTTCCCATCTTTTCTCTAAAGAGCACAGCTCTGTCTTATAGCCTGGAATCAAGAGGCAAAATTTCCCATTTTTAGCACACCCTGCAAGTGTGACCATACCAGAGTTCTTCAGAAGTCAGTGTGAGTACACTTGACAGAGTAATGCCTCTCCTGAAGAAGGATGAGAAATAGGTTCAAAACAGAGACCATATTTAATATTTAATTCTACTAGACATGCTATTAGTTTAGAAAATTATCTACCAGTAAATAATATTGCAGTCTGGGAATGGTAGCACATAACTATAATCTTAGCAATTAGGAGGCAGAGGCAGTAGAATTGCCATGAATCTAGGTCAGCTTGCACTACATAGTAGGACCTTGTTTCAAAAGCCTAAATAAATAAATAAATAAATAAAATAAGCCAGACGTGGTGACACAAGCCTGTAATCCCAGCACTTAGGAGGCTGAGGCAGGAAGATTATTGAGAGTTCCAGACCAGCCTGGGCTACAAAGTGAGCTCAAGGCCAGCCTGAACTGCATAGTGAGATCCTGTTTCAAAAAAGACAAAAAAATGAAGAAATAAAGGAAAGAAAATTGCTATTGCCATATAAGGTTCTGAATATATATATATATTTAATTAATTTGCATGGGATTGGTGGAGAATTAGCAAGGTTTGCACAGTTAGCAAATCCTGCATCTTTGCTTCTACCGAGAAAACAATGTTGGGCTTCTGGAATTCTGTGATCACAATGATTTTATCTACTAATCTGGGCATAATCTTGTTTTACGTGTGTTTTTGTTTAAAGGCACCTTATTTAGTACACAATGCTGATTCATTAACAGTGACCACATGGCCATCGCACTATAACTCATACTTGAATGAAATTTAGCTAAGTAATGCAATTGCTCCCTGATGTCCACCACAGTCTGCTCTCGTCCAGGTACAATAGAACCTTAGCATTACTACCAACAACTGCTTTTAACTACAAAATCACAAGGAACACACATTTGTGAAAAAAAAAAAAACCCTCTATATATAACATGAGAAGGGATATGGCTTATAATTGATGAATTAAAGCAAATAAGCAAAGGGTCACCTTGATTGCTGCTAGATGAAGAGATTTAGACTGAAGCTTTCATTTTCCACTGCTCTATGTACATCCACAAATGGCCGAGAATGTGTCATGAGTATTGATTTAGAGATTGAAAATATATTTTAGCAAGTAGGCAACTTTACATAGATGAATTACACACAGAAAGGTCAAGTATGAATGATTTGCAAATATTTTCTCCTGTCCCAGTTTGAATTTTCTTTCCCTTATTTGTGTACTTTAAAGAACAAAGCTCTTAATCTTGAACATTTCAATTTACCAATTTGTTCTACTATTGTTCATACTGGTAGTGTGATATGTAAGAAATATGTAACCTCACTTTCACAAAAATGTTCTACTTTTTAAAGGTGTGTAGTGTTCAACTTCACATTATATTCTAAATATCTTGATCTAAGTGATAGGTGGAAATCCATTTTCTTGCTTATGTATATCAATATATATTTGATTAATTTGTTTTAAAATAACCCTTTTCTACTGTACTGCTTTGTAAGTTTTTGCAAAACCAAATGACTCTTTATTATCTAAAATTGATCTACTTGTCTATACTGATGTCAATATCACACTATCTTAATTATTATATCTTCATAACAGATTTTAATGAAGCAATGCAATTCCTCTAATTTTGTTCTTCTTAAAAGTTGTTTTTCTAGTTTCTTTATATTTTCATATAAATTTTAAAGAGTTAGGAAATTTTCTTTGGGATTGCAGCATATGTCACCTCTTTTAAGTCTTCTTTAAATTCTCTTAACAGTATTCTATAATTTAAATGTATATGCATTTCAAACATTTTGTTGGCTGTATTTCTGAGTACCTTATATTTTATGCTATTGTAGGTGTTATTGTTAAGTATCAACATCCAATTACTAGTGACTAGCATATCAAGTATAATTTTTAATTTTTATTAATTGTGATTTTTGACTAGCATATCAATTTTAATTTTATGCATACTGACATATATAGTCCTGTGGCCCCACTCATCCTGCTGCAAGGTATAAGATGTCAGAACACGTCCCACTGGAGCCTGTGTTTACTGGTCATAATAAGGCTGATTATTGCTTGGTGGTAAGTAATAAAAAGAGAACCTGTGGGTAAAGAGGGCTCTCTCATGTCCAGGTGGGAAAAGAAAGGAGAGTAGAGAAGAGGAGAGGAGAGGAGATGGGAGGGGAAAAGTGGTGTGAGGAAGGAGGCAAGAGACAGGAAAGGACACACACAGATCTGTATCTATCTATATCTATATTATCTATAACTATATCATCTATATCTATATCTATCTATATCTATATAAAGATTTTTAATAATGCCAAGACTGAGATCATGTGAGAAGGTCACAGAGTGAAGAGGAAGATGAAAGAGACATATTGCC